GGGCGCACCGAGCGTAGAAGGTGCGATGCTCGAGTTCCCCAGACTCACGGCTCCGGCCGCCAGAGAGCAGCAAGCGCGTGGAGTCTGCAGACTGCGGACTGGACCGCGCCATGCCGCGCCGGGTCGCCTCCAGAGACTGCCTGGATGGATCTGTGGCACCTCCTTACTTCTCTCAAGGCACTGGATAAGGGAGGGTCTCAAACACCTCTGTCCAGTGACGTGGCGTGGAGAGCCCCAGGAAGGGTCGAAAGCTTTGCGGACCTGTGAATGGGCGAAGGGACAAGAGACTACACTTACATGGTTACAGTCTTCAGATCCTGACGAGGACACGTCGGTCTGTCTATACCAACTTCTGCACAATTACTTTACTCCATATTGGGTGTCAGAATAAAACTTCCTATTGCTATACTAAGTAAGTGGCCTGGTTCTAGGGCGGGAGGGTTTAAGAGCTGGAGGGTGGGAAAGGCCACTTGGTGGAATGGTTAAAGTAGTGGGGGGAGGGCAGGCAGACAGTCTGGCTCCAAATTCAGGCTCCACCCCTTGTTAGTTGTTTGACCTCTTTGTGTCTCAGTTCTTCATCTGTAAAATGAGGATAACAGTAGTGTGTGTCTATTGACCTGAAGGTTAAATGAGTTAATATGTGTTAAGGCCCTGGAGTAGTGCTTGTGTTAGCTGAGTAGGTCTAGGCAGGGCAGGATTTGAACAGGGAGGATAGAGAACAGCGGGGTTTGGAGCTAGTATGAACCCCGGGACACAGGTAGAGGGGTGGGTTTGAGGAGCCTCCTGTTGACAAGCAAGACCGGACAGGGGGAGACAAAAAGAGACCATTTCTTTGGCCAACATAAAAATACTAACCAGGCTGCTATGTATCAGGCCATACCAGACCCTCTGGATGGCAGAGGCGGGGAGGAATTGCAGGGAGGATAATGCCACCGAGTAGGTGCAGGATGAGAAAGGCTTGAGCCATGCCAGGGAGATGAGCACCTATTTGGAGAGGTGTCTGGGATGGGGCGGAGGACTCACGGCTTCAGCGCCCTCTGGCGATGAATGACATCTCAGGATGTCTGAGAGTTCTAGATGAGAAGATGCTTTGGAGAAGCATAAAATGGGGGAAATGGTGAGAGATGAGTAGCCCCACTTCACACTCCCTCCCCAGCCCAGGAAGCCAAAGCTGTTACAGCCATAGCTCTTCCAAGGCCCCCGGCTTTCCTATATACATCTTCCATCTTTTACCTGGGTCTTTGAAAACTTACTATGGAGAGTTGAAATGAAAGCAAGGTGGCTTATAAGGATTTCTTGGCAGCTGATCAAAAGTAAAACTTTGGGTTTGGCCTTCCTTTCTGAAGGGGAGGGGCAGCGGGTTCTGGAAGGAGAGGCCGGAAGCTTCTCACAGGGAGTGTCAGTTGGCAGGCTCAGTCTCTGTGACTAGTTGCCATCTCACAGTGTGGGACAGGGGTACCCCTGGTGGAGTACATCTCACTCTGGGCTTGGTCAGTTTTCAGGAACAACAGGGAATAGAAGACATAGTTAAATCTGAACTAGTAGGAAACTACTTGACAGGTGTCACATAGAAATCTGTGCTTGATTCTGGCCTAGAGAGCCAGCATAAGGCTGGCTGGAGGTATATTTGCCAGCAGGGTGAGGAGGCATTGTGGATAGGGGGCCTGGAAGGAGATGGGGCAGCTTCACTGCATCTGAAATCTTGGTCTGCCAGGGGACTTTGGAGATTCTAGAGCTCTAGGGGAAGAAAGAGGGAAGGACAGGAGTAGTGAAATTGTCTGTGACTTCCTCTACCAGCTTATGATACTCAAATCTGGGAAGGGGTCAAGTTGTTAGACCAGAGAGCCCTGGAGACCTGGGTTCTTTGTGATCCAGCAGCATGGTTTCTAGTTTAAGATGGAAAACTAAGCACCTGTGTTTATGTCCTCTCCCTTATGAGTCTCCTCTAGAGTGAGAGTAGAGAAAAAGGAAAGATTCATCTTACAGCTGAGAAGTTATATCTTAGACTGATAAGCCTAGACTTCAGCCCTTAAAGAGGAGGCTTGAGGGACCTCTACAAGAGGTCATGGGGTGTTTGAGTGCCTTTCATTTCCAGTATGGTTTACTGAAAAAGGGAGAATGCCATTTGGGAATGTGCCAATGACAATGACAATTCCAACTCACTCAGCTCTGGAAATGCAAAAGGAAAATTAAGGTGGACAGTGGGAACTCAGCTAGCATTGCTTTGACCACCATGGAGAATAAGCAGCCCCCTTTCTGGTGGAGTCCACCCAGTGCCAAGGGGAATCTCTTTCTCTCCTTTATTAGTGCCTGAAATCCCATCCTTAAAATCTAGGTCTTCTAACTGCAAGAACCAGCGTTTCTCATTACATCACAAATTCTTTGTACCTCCTAGTACAGGTGACATATAACGTAACTTACCTCCTCCAGCCCCTGAGATCTGATTACCCATTGTGGGATGTGAACTGGGAAGAGCGGGGAAGAAGTTCCATCGGGATATCCTGTGGTAATGAAAAGAAATAGGAGAAAGTTCTAGGTATAAACTTGACTAACCTGACAAATTCTCTGACTCCCAAATGGAGCAGCAAACGCTAATGAGGAAGATTTCCTAAGACAGAATTAAAATAGGCCAGTCAACTCAGAGGAAGTGGCCTATAACCAACTTGAAAAGCCAGGCAGAGTTGCATGACTCCAGATCCCAATTAGGGAGGCTGAGACAACTCTTGCTGGGATGCTAGCCTTCCAGCTCACAAATAAGATGGCACAAAGCCATTTTCCATTTCCTTTCTCCTGGGCCAAGAGTCAGTCTCTGGAGAAGACAGTGAAGAAAGGAGGATTCCCTTGATAATGATTCCTTGGAGGAAAGAAAGGCTGAAGGAAGGAAAAAAAAAATCCCAAATGTCCCAGGAAAAAAATTCAGAAGTGAGGTTGGCCTTCTCAACTTGAGTGTCCTTCATGACTTATCCCTTGGGCTCCTCCCAATTCTTCTTCTCTCCTCTGTGGGTTAGTCTCTTAATCTCCCTAATCCTCCATTTCCCCATAAATGTAAAATAGTGATAATAACTCTGTCCTACATGGGAATTAAGTATTTGCAAAAATCCCATTTACCTCCTCTTCTGGATCCCCAGTGTCTCTGACATATTCCTCTGTTGAGTAGTGTCTTGTAATTTCATTGTTTACCTAAAGTATCTGGAGATAGGGACCTTCTTGGGCTTTTCAGTGACTGTGACATATTTGTCTTTTTGTGCTCGGGAGCTAGTGAGTGTAGTGCTGGCCTCTTGAAATTGCTCAGTGAAAGTTTGCTGAGACAGTGGATGCAAGTATGAATCAACAAGTGAAGAAATGGATGAATGCATGAAAGTATGAAGGACTGGGCACCTCTGAGTGCCACTGAGGGTTACAGTATATGTCTCTGTCCAAGAGTGCCAGCCTTTTGCAGTAAATGACTGGTAAGGGCTTTCACACATGCCAGGGAGCCTGGTCTGCTGGGGCAGGACTGAGCACCTTTCTCCAGGGAGGAATGCTTCTGAGGGGCATCAACAGGGCTGAGAGTGACCATGCAATTCACAGTTAATTTTCCTTGGACATTTATGGGTAAGACAGGATATTGGGTACATTTTCCTTTCTTAAAGCACCTTTATTGACCTAAATTGAGGGACTTTTATTTGTCTTGGTTTTTCTTCAGTAAAATGGGATGATGTTTCACCAGTGTGCCTTCTGTTTACGATATTGACACATGCCCTTATTATTAAAGGTGGTCTGTTGGGAAGTGGGCCAACTAGCTGGGCCAATCTGCAGGGCTGTAATTTTTAAGTCTTTATTTAAGCTTTATTTTTATTTCAAGGAATTGGCTCAATTGTGGAAGTTGGTAAGCCCAAATCTGTAGGACAGGCTGGAAAGTCAGATAAGAATTGAAGTTGCAGTCTTGAGTCTGAAATCTGCAGGGCAGATTTCTGTGTTATACTCTTGAGGCAGAATTTCTTTTCTCTGGAAAACCTCAGTTTGTGCTCCTAAGGCCTTCAACTGATTGGATGAGGCCCACACACATTACTGAGGATAAATAAGCTCCTTTGTTTAAAGTGATTTTAGATGTTAATCTCATCTACAAAATGCCTTCACTGCAACATCTAGATTAGTGTTTGACCAAACAGCAGGGTACCTTAGCCTAACTTTTCTTCTTTTACATGATTGAATTATGTTCCAATAGATTTTTATTAGAAATATTTCAGCTATGGCTTTTAGGAGACTTTACCCTGCTTTTGGGGTCTGTTAGTGACCTCCAGTTCATCCTAATCAGTTTTGTCATCCACGATCCAGCATCTGAGGTTCTGACCAACATGTATAAAATTGATATAGATCAGGTAACCCTGGATCATATGTACTCAAAAGAATTCTAAATTCCTCAATGAATAGTTACTGGTCTTGTCTGGGTTTAGGGAAATGCTTAATTATAGTTATTAATTCAGCTCTGGTCCAACAGTTGTCTGCATGTCTAGCTCATGGAAGGACTGTACCATTAGAGGCAACTGACATTTAAGGATTTTAGGAGATGTTGGGAGAGTGTAGGGGCTGGACAGGGGAAGAGCAGGGAGGAGTCAGTAGAGGTGTGGAGGGGGATCAGTTGGGAGGATAAGGGGGAAGACGCAGGTGCTGGGTCTAGGGAATTAACTGGACGAAAAGGAGGGGGAGGGTTTGCCAGTAAAATGAATCTAGCTTGTTGTTGCCTAAGGCTGTCAAATTGCTCATTAGTTTGGCCAAGAATCTTTAATCGAGTGTCTTGGGCCCTCAGCCTGACGGTTGGCTGTCTCCAAGTGCAGAGCTGGCAGTTTGCTCCCTGCAGAAAACCAGGGAGAATACTGTCTCTGGGAAAAGTATTGGGATGGAAGAAGAATGTTACCCAGTTGTGTTGGTGACCCACAGCCAAGTCTGCATGAGAACCACAAAGTCACCGATGGGGTCCATGAGGCTGGCTTGATCAACAAGCCTGAGGGGGCCCTATGCCTGTGTTCTGCCCTGTGATTCTCCTTCTTGTGACAAACAGCAACTTTGACGGCAGCACACATGTTGGAAATACAAAAGGGAGCAAAAGAGATGAAAAGGAATGGCCTGATT